TGTAGGTATTAGGTCGAAACAAAAACACAGGCACAAATTCAAAAGCAATGAGTAGAGCACTACGCCTTGCCGTACCCAATTGGTATTAAGAGTATCTTCCTGACTTCTCTACACAATGGCAAATAGCAAAAGGAACCGGAGTTACGCAGTGGCTTCGAATTGAAAAACACGTGAAAGCAGCGAATGTCCTAAGGACATGTCGAAAAAGAACAGCGGATTCGCTAATTTTTCCAGTAGCGACCAATGGTGCTTCGCGCACGGTCTCTCCATAGGCAAAATGCCTTGCTCTACCGGTGAAAGTTCGAATTGAAAAGTTTCGGGTTCGCAAGATTCAGAAATTCAGGTCATACGAAAACAATTGACCAAATCACGAAATAAACGGAAATAGCGGATCTCCAAAGTTGCTCATTCAAGCAAACAATGGACTGAAATCGAGGTTGGTAAATTTTTGAAGTTCGCTCCATTCGGAGTGGTCTGCTCGCCGGATGATTCATGGAGATAAATGTATATAGTATCTCTATTTACAAGAGTCTCTATTTTACATTAAATTTAAGTTCAGACACTTGTGGCATTATCTCTATCTAAAAGAGTATATGCCATCTGTGTGAAATAAGTTGAACGCACAGAAAAACTGTACACGGCTTCTCATGCTGTGTTATCTTCAATTAAAGAAGTGTACACTCACTCATCGCCACTCACTTGATCTCCATGGTCTGGACGCTGAAGATGAGGATCCACCCCAACTTGTGTTGCCCTGATACGTTGATGCTTGATCTTCATATGCCTTTCTCTTTTTCTCCTTCTGTCTTTCCTTTCTTGAATCAGCATACTGCTTCTTCTTGTAGGCCTGTTTGTAATGATGTCGTTCATTCCATGACATATCAGAAGGATCAAGATGGATAAGAATTGGATTATGAGCATCGCGATCATTTGGAGCAACCATGAAGATGTTGTGATCACCATGTAAGCAAGTTTCATTTACCTTGAAGTAAAATTCACCCACATAGTTCATGTGATCTTCATCCTCAAAGTCTTCTGGGTGTTCCTCACACATCAAACGTGAATGACCCCACTCAACAACTGTTAACATACAACAATGACCTTGACCATTTGTCTTGTTCATGAGCTCGTCGGTGTATGTTGCTGTTGTAATGCCATCCAAGTGCGTTGCAAGAAAATCCAAGTCACGATAACTGCAAGAAATAAAATGCTTGACCCTGATTGGAGGGCAAGTTGAATCAAAATTCTTGCGCATGGCTTGTGTTGCAACACCTACCATTCTGTTAATCCAGAATTGGATAAGGCTGTGTTGATATGTAGGGACACCTGGAGATTTTGGTGTGCTGTAATAGCATGCCTTGTTTCCATCACCTGCGATGAAGTCAACTTGATATCTGGCACACTCAAAAGTCATAACAGCTAAGCTCTCACCAACAATCCCAGCAGAGTCTGATGCATACTTCTGTCCGACGTGATAAACGCACACACGTGTCATTCTCATCCTAGCTCTTGTCAAGTCAACAATCTCATCTGTATCTCGATCCTTTGTCTTTCCCCAAGATACTTCAAAGATTGCCCATGAGACTTGTCGAACTCGTGTGTCGTTGTCATCTGTGTGATATCCAGCAATTTGCTTGATATAGCCATCCTTTCCAAGGCGAGCGGCCACCATCAAGTCATGATAGTCATTGAAGCAAGTTTTAAAGTCAACCTCGTTGAGTCTTTCTCTGTGAGGATACAACGAACCAGCCTCGCAATTCATGAAAAGATGTCCTCCAAAGTTCTTGATGACATTGATGAAGTAATTGTTGAACTGTGATTTGGTTTCATCAAATTTTTCATGATCCTCATCGATAGTGTAGTCAATGTGTGGAATGAATTGTTGAAATCTTTCTGGAACCGGGCATTTTTCAAATCTGTTTCTGCACCAGTTTCCCAAATTCCAAAACATTGCTGTTATCTGTGGAGAGGATCTGTATGGAAATTCAGCATCCTTGTACGTTGGGTCTGATAGGCCTCCACCTAAATACCTGTAAGCCAAGCTATGCAAGATCATACAGTAAGGCAAGACCTTGTGGTCCTCAACGTAATCTTGGAGTACCCTTGTGAGATTTCCAAAATCGTCATCAATCCTCTTTTCTGCTTCTTTTGAGGATCTTTCTGCCTTGTCTTGATGAAGAGGATGCATCCTAGGATCACTACAACCATATTCAATGCGCTGATTGAGTTCTTGTAATTCTTGTTGTGGATTCTGATCCTTGTGTCTGGCAATGTACTCAACCATCAACTGGTCATCTGTAAGATGGTACCAAAAATCATGATGTGGAGACATGGTCTTCCTGTACTTAACATGCCAAAACATATGTCGATGCTTCGAAGACGCTGGATAACCTTTGTTGTAAAATCCTGCCCATTCACCATGGTAACCATCTGAAAAACAATCCTTCAATTTTCGAAAAACTGAATCATCTTCGTTTCCAGTGATATCTTGACCATAGTA